GACCTTTGAAATAGGATAAGTATAAAACACTCTTAAACATAACGATTTCGGCAATTTCAAGACGATGTGCACCATTAATGACAGCCTTAGGAGATAAGCTTAGGCTTTAGTTTTTCCTTGCTCTATGAAAAAAATGTAAATTCAAAATTCTTTTGCAACAGTTTTTAAAGATTTAACTCCCGTGCGGAGAACGTGAAAATAATACATTACATGTATGCAACATCACTATGTCATGAAATGAACATGTGACTTTCTAAAACCAATATCTCTATCTGATGGTGATGGTGTTTTTTTTTTTAGTTATATAGATATATGTTGGTAGACGAAAATTGAGATGATTTTGAAGCTTGAAAGTCTTGAGTCGTGAAAAAGTCTTGCCAACAAAACTAATCATCATGAAACTTTTACTCGCACACGACACAGTTACTTGACTGCTCACAGTGGGGGAAGCAACATTTCAAACATTTAAAATGCGAAAAAGCCCGGGGGAACGTTGCCCTTTAAGTACCCCAGCAGCCATATTACACACACAAAAATCTAAATTTGCCCATCCCCAGCCAAAGAAGTGTTTTTCCTTTCAAAAGTAATTTAAACTAGAAGAGGAAAATAGATGACTAGCTTTTAAAGCCGATACTAATCCGAAAAGAGCGCCCCGTAGTGCTAAATTTCCACGGAAACCCGCACCCCATTACCCAAGAGGGGGGGGGGGGTTACAAGCCACTCCCCAAGAAATTACCAGTGCCCCAGAAGCCTAGATTTTTTTTGGAGGGGGTACTGTTTTGGCTATATTATGAACACATTTCTATCGATTACATTATTTTCCAACCTGTTTTTCCCTTTTAAGTGGCATATATATGTAGATCTATTCATTTGTCACTTGCTTTTAATAACTTCATTATGTTTGTCGGCGATTTTAGAAAAGATTTGCAATTTTGGGTAAAGGCTTGCATTATATTTGGCATGCACATGACATTATTATGCAGTTCTCATTTTCTTAATCTAAATGTATTTAACAGACATGCGGAAGTACATAATTCATGAATCTTACACTTTTCTCTTTTTTATTTATTCATACAGCTTATATTTTGGGAGCCACATTTTGTTTTAGCCTAATCAGCCTAATCTGGCAAATAAACGTGTTCATAAATGAGCCGCTATTGATATTATTCGAATGTTTTCTCGTTAATGGTGTTGCATGGTTTTCGCTCGTACCACACCGCCCTCAAACAGGGCGCATGGGAAGGGCTAATCACTAACACAAAATTGTGTGAAGGAAGCATGGACGCGCAAGGCATTGTGGGCAGCTTACTGCCTCATCCAAAGCCCGTACATTCAGCGCGCACGTTTCACGTGCACACGGAAGTGTTAACGTGTTCTCTTGTTCAAACAAATTCTATCCAATGAGGGCTCGACGAACTGACGTCATGCATCCTGAATGATATTAGCCCTTCCCAGCTCCCTGCTTAAGGGCGATGGGTATGAGCGAAGATGATGGTGTAGCTCGCACAGTCGGAAACACTGCCAAGTGTTAATGTATCTTTATAAAACCAAACACCTGCAGTGTTTTTCTTTTCCAGTTAAATACCAAAATGAATCGATATTTACACTGATTACAATTTCTCATTCATTAAATGTGTAGAATACTGTGCATTGTATTCTTAAGCCACGGTACATTAACCAATTATCAATATCAACTTCAGTAATAACCAGAACATTTTATACAGCAAAAGGCACACGCAATACACGTTTTTATACATTAACTAATGATCCAATAGCTAACTAACTCAAATCAAGTCCTTATTTCAAATCCTACACAGAGGCGGATCAAGGATATTTTGCAGTAGGGGTGTCGACCCGTCAGATTGTTTTATGTCCGATTGTTGAGGACAGGCGGACCTAATGGTTACTAAATTGTTATAATCTTTAGGGGGTCAGAGCAGGGGGAGTTCGACCCCCTCCCCCCCCCCCCCCCCCCTCTCTGCATCCGTGCCTGCATTAATCTCAGACTTCTTGCAATGTCAGTTTTTCATGCAAAGTGTTTAAAATCATGTGGGTCTATTGTTTAGAATATTTTGTACTAGTATTCTTTTCTTCTTGCTATATGCAAATATTAATGCAATTAAGTAATCGTGAAATGCATATATATACAGTGCAACTGTTGAATCAACATTTCAACTCGTCCATTAACAAATAATTAATATCAACTTCATCAGTAATAACCATAGAATTTTTATACGGCAAAAAGGCGTACGCAATGCGACACTTTTAATCGACATGAAATTACACTTAAAACAACATAAACATCCGGTCCTTATTTTAAATCCAATTATCACAGACTTCTCGAGATGTACATGTTCATGCAAAGTTTAGAATTAAAAAATATCTCACAAGAACTGTAAAATTATTGTATTTTGGCATAATATGCGAATATTAATGCAAATAAGTATAATAGTAAAATATATATAATTAATTATACAGTGCTACAGTTGAATCAGCATTTCAACTTGTCTGATGTTTGGATTTAGTGTTGTGTCAATCATCTGTTCTTCGAATTAATGTCTTTGTTGATTTAGTATCCGACAGCAAGACAATGAGCTATCTTTATGCAATCATTTGTTTTTTAAATGAATAGGCTACATTTTGGATTCATTGTCCTTAAACTGTAATGTGTTTGCCTGAAGTGATATCACAGAAGCGGCGCCCTCAGTTGTTAGCCATGCCTTTTGAAATTATGACATTATCATAATACATTAATAAGTGGGAAGGATGTTCGCCAAAAGCCTCCAACAGTGTTAAATTCGTCACGTGGCTCATTTAGTCAAGGGCGGATCCAGAACACAATTTTTGGGGGCCCAAAAAAATTTGGTCCCTCAAAAGTTCGTCCAAAAAAAATTACGGCGTGGGGTTCGGGGCCCGCTTAAGAGCTGAGGCAATTTATGACCACTTTAACCAATATTGTTTTTAGGAAAAGATGGTGATGTACTCTTTGCCAGCTTTAATTGCAAAGTCACCTAAAAAAAAATTGGATACGGGTCAGTTTTTTTTAGGGGGGGGCATGGCCCCCTTTGCGCACTCCCCCCCCCTCACTTTGGATCCGCCCTTGCATTTAGTAACGATTAATGTGTTTTTGTTTAATGCGTTCTTGTTTAATGTTATACATTGTGTTGATTTTATGGATAGAAATTGTTGGCGGCCAGAGGGGGGCGGTGTACATGTATACTGTACAGTTAATATTCTCTGTTTCACTTTTAAGCCACAATACATAAACAAATACCTGTAATTAAAATCGACTTCACTAATATTAAACTATTGCATTTTATACAGCAAATTTCAAAGGCGTACGCATTACACTTTTTATACATGAATGGTCATATTGAAATTACCATAAATAAGACATAACCAACCGACCTATATTTTTAAATCCAATAATCACAGGCTTCTTGCAATGTCACTCTTCATGCAAAAGTTTAGAATGAAAAAAAATATTGTCACAAGAGTTTCAAAGTATGATGGTCAAGATATACAAATATTCTTCTTTTTTTGCCATATGCGAATATTTTGTATATGCAATCGTGATCGTAGAATGTATATATACACAATGTCAAAGTTGAATCAGCATTTAAACTTGCCTGAAGCTTCGGTTTAGTGTTGTGTCAATCCTCTATTTCTCGTATAAATGTCTGTGTTCATTTAGTCTCCGACAGCAAGTCAACGAGCTATAAAATTAATGAATGGACTACATTTTTGTTTCATTGTTCTTAGATAATTAAAAATATAAAGTGTTTGCCTCAAGTGACGTCACAGAAGCAGCGCCCTCAGCTATCAGGACATACCATGCTTTTTGAAATTGTGACATTATTTTAATACATTAATTAAGAGCATTTAAAGATATTCGCCAAATGCATGCACCGCTGTATTATAACATTCAACGAATGATGCATTTAGCGAATTTCTGCCATTTGCAAAAATTGATGTTTTTATTTACTTGAAACTTAAGAAATGACATCATCGAGAAATACAATGGCGGTGTTGATTGGGGGGGGGGATAGGCCCTTAACCTTACAGAGCGCCCTCATTGAATGTTTCCTGGAGACACCTTCGATCAGCCCGAAATTGACGAAAAAGTACCTCCACAAGCGAACAAACATGACCAACAATCATGGGCGTTGCGAGGGGGGGGGGTGAAAGGTTGCCCCCCCCCCCGGAAAAGCAAACAAAAGAAGAAGAAGAAAAGAAAAGAAAAGAAAAAAACCCAGAGGCGCGAAGTCATAGTATTTGATAGAATTTTGTTGGGAAAAATATGTTTTGCCCCCCTCTAGAAAAAATCCTGGCGACGCCCATGCCAACAATCAAAATGCGTGTAGCACCAAACGCAAAGATAAGAACACCATCTGAACAACACACGCACGTTATATGATGACATCTGTGAGGTCTTGGTCACAATCAGAAAAAGCCTTTTATAATAATTATCGTCTTTACTGGAATGAACAGTTTGCTAAATCCTCAGTCAATGAAAGAAATGGAACCGTTACAGCACCCTACCTGCTTTCACAAACTTAGGATTTCGTGAAACAGGACGTCCCGGTTTTCATAAAAAATTGATGATAAAAGTATGTGGATTACAAATATTCCTTGGCTTGACACCAGGGTAAGATTTTGCAATGGCTTTTACACAGCTCTATAAGCCACTTCCATTTTCATATCATTTCATGTAGGAATCACTATATATGTAAAAACGGACATCTGTGTAATAATTTAATTCATATCATTTCAGGTAGGCCTACAGGAATCATTTGGTAGAAATTTTCAGCCCTATATGATGCGAGTCAAACCTCAGTATTTTGTACGTTTGCAGATGCGAATCCAGCTTTGGCTCAAGGGGAGGGGTTAGTTGTCGGGGAGGTAGGCGTATTAAACAGGTCATGATGTGCTACTTTTGTGCATGCCCTTTTTTTTACCGGGGGAGACTGTCTTAACACCCCCCCCCCCCCCCGTATCCACTACTGCTTTTGTGTTTGTTGAACTTTGTTCATATTGGTTAGTTCAAGTTGATTCCTTTTCGGTGCTTTTGCCTTTGGTTTAGTCGCGCAACAAACTGTGAAGAAAGTGTAAAGGAAAGGATTGAGGGACGAGTTGAGTGGAAGACCCAGAACCACAACCCATGCATACACCTCGGTGGATAGACTGACTGTTCCCGTCTGAGACAGAATCCCCAGGATGATTATTGGCATCCAACAGCAGAAATCCGTCATCACGATCAGCGCCATCTTGGCTGCCATTTTGACTTCACGCTCCCGATGGGCATTCGTTCGGACAGCACTGGCCGTCCGCTTGACACTGATGAAGATGGCGACGTAGCAACACAGGACAAGGAGAAACGAAACCAGATTGACGCCAAGGAAGAGAATGATTGACAGAATCCAAGATGGTTTCTCACCCGTGGTTTGTGAAATGTCCATGCCCCATTTCCACCCCCATCGATCAGTGTACTTCTTACCAAACGTGGTCACACCAGATGCCTTAGTGGTGAGAGGAAGGCCGATACAAACATCCGAAAGTCCATATACATCAGAATCGGACCCCAATGAAAGTGTCGGCACGATACTCAGACAAAGTGCCAGAAACCATAAGACAACAATAATGACTGTTGTTGATTTCGTTCCCAGAGAGAAGTTTTTCCACGGAAAGACAATGCCTAGGAAGCAGTCCACGCTGATGAGTGTCACAAAAAACACCGAAGCCTCGCTGGACAGAACGGACAAGACTCCAGCAAGTTTACACATTATGCTGGAGCGCCATTCAGGGGCCACGAGAAAGTAGTCATCGCCAAATGAAAGATCTGCACCAGCTATGATTAACATGTACACACCCATCATGAAGTCTGCCATGGCCAGATTTCCTACCATAAAGGAGAGCGTTTTTTTACCCCCTCCGACCCCTTTCTGTGTAAGCCTCCAAATCAGGACACACAAATTACCAATAAGCGCGCTTAGTCCCAATGCCCACAACACCGCTCGTAGGATGCTATTTGGCATAAGGCTGTCGCACAGATTCAAATCTGGTCTACGCTTTACAGTTGAACAACTTTGCTCGATAGAAAAGTGATGCAACTTGGATAGGGCACAGCAAACACGGTACTCATCAACGTGTCTGAAAATTAAACAAACGTTTATAGAACATTATATACAGTACATTAACACATTTCTTGTTAGAACGGCATATAGTATTCGATGCTGCCTCTAATGAACTGGCATGAACTTGGGTACGGACCCCCCCCCCCAAAAAAAAAATTGCTTTCCCAGGCAGCGTTATCCGCGTTTGAGAAAATTATATTGCAATCGATTTTACTTTACGAGCAACTCAATGACTTACGCTCGTAGCAAGGCTGGTAACCCATCAGCGGCGACCTTACCAAGCTTAGTCAACGTGCCTGACACATTACGCATGACACTGAAAAAGATCAGATGTCGAACATGGTATTGACACTTCACGAAAATAGGCATACTCGAAATCCATATTTGAAGCAACCAGCCTACTGCTCTCTTCCTTTCAAACATGTCATTTATTTAACGATCAATCCGTCGAAGCAAAGATGGTCCGCGAAGATGGACAGTTTAGATTAAACAGTTAAGATTTAACAAGAAAACAAATTGTCTAGATTTGTACATTAAGAATTAAAAATAGAGAGTCCCCCATTCAGCGGAAAAAGCAGGGATAACTTAAACTTATTTCCATTGCAGTCGTCATGATGACGTCAACACGTATCATGTGATGTAACGTCATGTTAAATATGTAATATTTTACAGCCTATATATCTAGAACGACAAGGCCGATTGGGTTGAAACTTTGTATATACATAATCAGGGATTAGTAATATACCAAAATTGAAATGACTTAATGACGACGGTATCGTTTTCTTCAATAGTTTTTATCTTATCTGCATATCTCAAGAACCACCAAACAAGCCACAAAATTAGTTGTGTATTGGGTACGTTACGTTATAGATAATTCTATATATATGCACGAAATTTCGAAGAAATGTTTGACATCATCATGAAGTCATCAAAATGGATTTTGTTTTATATGCATATAAGAAAATATTCGATCGTTATGAAACTTCGTGGGTAAGTAGATAATGACAATGGAATTTAAACCCTGAAGTGACATCATGATGACGTCATCAACTGATTTATATTACCCTTATATAATGTTGGTTAAAGAAGGTTTTAAAGAAATCATGGTCACGGGTCATGTTTAATCATCTTAAATGGGCATGTTATATATCTAGCGATCTATACAAGGCTAATTGGGTTGAAAACTTGTAAATACATAGTCCGGTATTTGGGAACAATATCAAACTTACAGGGTTTTGAGACAGAAGAGTCCACCAAACGCACCCTCTGGGATCGACACGAGCGGAAGATTTATCAGACGACTGTCAAATCGAATGGAGAATATAACAAAGTTGAAATGCACTGCAAAATATTTTATTAAAGAGACACTACGGCCTGAAATCCACTAAAATTGTCTGTTTTTGATTGTTTCCGTATCCTATTTCAAAGGTATGACTGAAGGAAAATCCTCCTAATGTTGCACTCTTCCTGACAAAAAAAAAGTCTGGGTGGACATTTTGTGGCATATGCATTACGTATTTCCACACATGTCCATGCAATGCACGGTACACATTGTGTGTGACACATTATACACACAGCACCAATATACACATGTTGTTTCTTGCACGTCCGCAGAATGCGATGCAGGGAAGGAAAAATCTGCGGCAGGATTCACGACTAGCAACCAACAGCTCGATTTTTGAGTAATGTTTTGACCCCCAAAATTCGTTCTCGAAAGAATAATACAAGAACGCCCAGTTTATTAAGGATGGTTGTGTGGGCATTTGTATTCTATACTTTTAAATGCTCTTTCCAGTTACATTGTAATTTAATAAGGGAATAAATGTGTGCTCCGGAGGTTTTTATCATTCTGTTTAATACCACTTAGAGTCTGGGTAGTGGTAATTACCCGAGCCGGAGGCGAGGGTAATTATCAGCACCCAGACTCTAAGTGGTATTAAACAGAGTGATAAATACCGACGGAGCACATATTTATTCCCATTCATAAATACCTTTTCGGTAAAAAAAAATCATATAATTCGTTCAAAACATCCCGATTTTGTTCAACAAACTCACTTTAAGCTTTTTTAAACATCCCTCCTGCAAAATAATGGAGTGTTCCGCTGGCGAGTAAGATGTAAACAACCCTTTTATGGAGATTGACGTGCGCGTATCATGTTCTACGCGATGTCGCGCAGAACGCACCTGGGGCGTTGCGTTTTGAATTTAGAACTATAAAATTCCAACTCCCTGGTAGTGTTGCGCATGCCTACGTGAGGATTGTGAACGTTCAACCAATGAAACGATAAGGGGCACTGGATTTTTAGGAGTCCACATTTTATTGTGACACTGGAAAAGTGTTTAAGACCAGCTAGCCATGTCTTTATCATCCGTTTAAGACTGGCCACGTGAGGGGCTCTCGACCAATAGGAATGCGTAAACTGTCTTAGGTATTTATGAATGTCGTTTAAAACGCGTTCTGTAACCCAATTGGGTGCTTTCCAGGACGTAATGTCCTATTAACGTCTTTGCGAGAGTGAGATTGGTTTCTATTTAGATAGTTTGAAAATCCAAATGTAGCTTGCGGGATATATTCTCTTTAACACCAACAAAATACGAAGCATTTCAAACTTACAGGGTTCGGAGATTGGAAAGTCCTCTAAATGTATTGGCGAAAATCGACACGAGTGGTAGATTTAGCAGATAACTGTCAAATCAAATGGAGAATACGAAGCAGAAACACACAACATTTTTTTAAAAGGGTCCATGAAATTAAAAAAATTGGCAGTAACTTATTTTGTGCAACTTTCTGCCTCTTTAAAATGTATAAAACTATTTGACATTCTCTTTTTTTGGTCTATTTATTCAGTGCTTTTCTTTAAACATTGACAAGTTTCCATGCTTTTCCTGGCAACTGAGGGCGCTGTTGCTGTGATGTCATTTTAGGAAGACGCTTTTCAGTTTAGGGGTTTCTGTTTCAAATTGTGAACCCAAAAATGTGCGCATGGAAAACTTCTGTAAGAAAAGTTTGCTCATTGACTTACTGCCGTGTGCTGACACAACAATGAATCATCAAAGAAAAGAACATTTGCATTAACAAAAATTTTTAAATGCCGGCAAATTGGTGCTGAAATAACTGTAACAATGAGGTTTCTTGAGGACATTGAGGACATTTGCATTAGCGTAAAAACCAAAAAGGCAACAAAATATCCCTGCAAAAGGACTAAAAATATAAAGGAAAATCAGGTTGAATATCTAATCGGTAAACTGCCTGTATTTTTCTATTTTCATTTTCATTTAAATATTAGACAGACTTAGATTAATTAATTACTCCCATCGAGGGATATTAAACGTGCCGTCCACGAAGAGAGTCGTTAAGTTAAAATTGTTGAATAAATTAAATGTTGAATAAGGATATTAGAAATAGCATGCAATGCAAAAATAATAATAAATGCATGAAAAAAGAATACTTGAATGAATCACAACAGTGCTGGCTATAAACACAACACGTGGAAAGAAACACAATGGGATACATACAAGCATATATTACTTACTTGATTATTAAAATCAACATCGATTGGAAATTGGAATGGTATTGCTCTTCAATTAGACATAATAGATCTCATTAGTGAGACAAAAATGACTATATAGCAATTGGGTGTGAAGTGAACGAGGGACTCTCACAAAGTTCTACCAAACAGCGAGCTCATACATGGACAAATACATTTCTCGACACCTTGTGCCGCATTTTGGGGGTCTTGTTGCAGTTTGAATCAGACGAATGTTATAAAGCCATGTCACTGTAACTATCATCAAGCCGAAGTTGAGACAGAATTTGTGCGTTAACCAGCGATTTACGAAAGTGCATTTCTATTAAACTCACAGAACTATGACAATAAGTTTATTGCCTGTGAAAATCAAATGAAAAATATTAAAATACCTAATTACCTTTTGATTAAAAACTTTGGAATTAACCAGCTACTTTAAGGAATACAGCTCACACTCCAAATAAATGGTTAACGGTAACTGTTGACATGCAGATTCATGCAGATTGATGCCAAAGCTTTTATGATGAAAATAGGGCCTGCACTGCAACAACGAAACAAGAAGCGTATCAAACTTACAGTCTGTCGAGAGAGGGCAGTTCGGTAAATGCACCGTTGGGAATCGACTCCAGAGGAAAATTGTCAATCTGACTGTCAGGTCGAGAAAAGAATAAACGGAGAACAAATAATGAAATAATATATACATGTATAGGCTGGCCCGTTGCCCCCAAAAGGCAACACCTAAACATTGGGACAATGTGACCCCAAATTTGTACTTGATGATTCCAATAAGCCAATTCCCAATACGTACCCCCTGCATGCTCATGTATCACGAAGTTACTAAGTTTGTGATAAAAACCAAAATTATGGTCGTTTAGGTCATAACTTGTTCGTTGTTTGCCTTTTTGGGGACACCCTGTTCATCAAAATATTTCTAATTTCATTCCAAAGATATCACATTGCAAACATATTTATACATGTAATTGTAATATTATTGCGTTTGAAACACACACTGTTGTGGAAGTAACAGTTATTACGATCTGTTACATGTATACAATTTTTTTTTTAATCAATATTGTAAGTTCCCGATTGAAGATTGCTCATATTGGAGAAGAAAATAACGTTTCTGCCATACGCATTTCACATTCCTAGCATGTTCAGACGTCTTCAAGGGTATGGTTGTATTTAATAGCAGACTGAATGAAAAGAACAGGCTCCAATTTATGTTGCACGTTAAGAATTTCCGAAAAAGGTGGGGACAGGAAAGATACTGGACCAGTGAGGGAAATCTGTCAAACTGGGGTCCAGTTTTAAAAGTAAATAAGTCTGAAAATGGTCAGCGAGACAGCTGATTGATATTACTTAAACCTCACAAATGTCCATTACATCACGTGTACGTATTTATTAAGTTATTCAACTGTTTTTGTACAATCCAAAAAGAAATGACCGAAACAAAATACCATATGATTTTAAAAATAATTAAAAGGGTTCAAAGAAACTTTGTGAGAAGCAGATTGGTTAATATTTAGACAGTTTAAGGATCAAATACAGCTTGCAGGACATATTTACTCTTCAAAACAAACAAGATATGAGCTGTATAAAACGTACAGCAATTTGAGGTTGGAGAGTCCTCGAAATGCACCAGCGGAAATCGACACGACCGCAAACTTCCTCATGAAACTGTTGAATCAAATGGAAAATATAACAAAGCTGAAATACACAACAAAATCTTCACACTTAGATTGGTGTGAATAATACTACATGTTTTGTGTTCAAGTATATTTTTTC